TTTAGTGTGAGCGTTACGATCGAATCTAGAATTAATGAAATTTATAGTATACGATATACCGGGATAGGTGAACATAAACTGGCTGTTAAAAAAGATAAGAGATTGTTTTTCTGAATTTGAGGAATCAATGCTTGATTTAATAACATTATTTTCATTTTATGAAACTTTCTCAAATATTGAATAGATTATAAATGATAATTTATTTTATAATGAAGTGATTACGACTTGCATGACTTTGCATTTAGGAATTGTTACGAATCACAAAAAAAATTTTTTTTAATATTAATTTGATTAACAAGGCCGAGGATAATTTTTAATCAAGCCTAAATGTTTGATATATTTTGCATTTCTTGAAAATTATTATAATAGTTAAACTAAATGTAAGAAATTTTATTTGCCAGATCATCTGTGTTGTGCAACACAAACAAACACGAAATTTTGATTGTGTCAAAAGTTCATAAATAAAAAAATAAACACATTTGATTAATTTGGATGATACAGACCATCAATTATTGGAACAAAGGTTGGCGGAGGCTTAGAAATTTTGATTAACGTTACATGATTTACCGCGTGCATTTTTTTTTTTTTGCTTTCTTCCTATTTCATTACAATTGAAATAATAAAAATGGGTTAATTGAAGAATCTAAAGAAAACTTTTTAAATACTACGAATACAGCAATTTACAAAAAATTGGTATTGCAGTTTTGAAAAAGTCTATCGTGCAAAATGGAAAAGCTAAAAGTAAAATCTCGCGTTAAAATCGTTTCATAACTTTAACAATGCCACAGTAAAGAACTAGTTCGTGAGATAAGCATAAGTCGAAATAAATATTTCGTCTGTTAATATAAAGTCTTTTATGTATAAATTTATAATTTAGCTTGAACTTTCAACGTGAAATGATTTTCATGATAATATTATCAGCTTTTGTGAGATAAACTTCTAATCAAGGTAAATTCCTTAATAAAGTTTGTATATCGAAATTTTATCTTTTGTTTTATATTATTTTTATTTATGTTTATATTTGATTTTTTTATTTTTTTTAAAAAAAAAAATTAGAGAATCAATTTACAAATTATTGGCTGACGGGCGGAGCACTTAGAAATTATTTGAAGGATAATTTTGATAAACTTACTTGGGGAGATAAATACAACTTTACATTCCAACTGGCTATGCGGTGTCGTGTTTACATGAAGAAGGAATTGTGCATCGAGATTTGGTAATCTTGCATAATATAAATTTTTCGTTTATCGTTATAGTTTTTAATTAAGAATAAATTTTATGTATGTATATATATAATAGCATTCCGGCAATATATTAATTCGTCAAGGTATTATTAAACTGGATTATCGAAAGAATTGAACCATTAACCAATCAGTTGATCCAAAATGTTTTAATAGACGAACAAGTGACAATACATTTACAATATAAACTAAACGAAAAGTATACAGTGTTGGCGTGCTCCTATGGGGATATCGAGTGGTCGTCCTCCTTTTTATGTTAAAGTGAAGAATAATGACATTGGCTATTTCACAGGGACCCGAAGATTAATTTATACCGGTAAATATACAAATTTAATTAAATTTATAGCGTGTATTTTTTTCTAAGTAGATTTTGATTCATAATATTTAATTTGATCTTATAATTCTTGGATAATGAGCCAGATAAAAATTTATCAATAAATAGTTTATAAATTAAATTTAATTATCACAGAAACAATTATGAAAGAAAATGATCAAATGAATAAACATGAATCAAATCTTCAATCAAATCACCAGAACTACAATTTTGTTCTAATATTCCATCACAAGGAGAATTATCTCAAATTATTTGATTTTATCAGATAAATTATCTAATGAATAATTCCAAAATAATTCATCATATAGCTGATAAAGTGAATGTAAAAGAATTAGTATTAGAGCAATTAAGTTCCGTAAAGGCGTTGGGTAAAGTTGGTAAGCTGGTTAATCCATCATGGCGTTTAATATGTCATCCTTATTAAGGTCCGTAATCGGTAAACTTTCAAAAGTATCGTCATATCTAATACTTCAATATTTGATACTCCAATAACTATCCTACCAACTTTACCAAGCTCTTTAAAAATTATTATACCAACTTTTCCCAGCTCCTTAACGGGACTTTATTGTTCCGATAACTATCCTATCAACCTTACCCAACTCTTTAACGGTAAACTAGCTTAGCAATTTGCCCAATTCCTTACCTTAAACTTTAAAAAACGCTACGTCTCAATAATCGAATAACCACTGTACTATTAATTATAAATAAACTTTCTTAATATTAAAGTTTCTTTTGAAGATAAGTTTCAATTATTTTATCCGCATTCCATAATTACATTTATTGAACTTTGCAATACATAGGACAATTTTAAAGTTATTTTCTTTAATTATTATAATTAAAAGTAAAGCGTTAAAATATTAGAAGATTCATTAAACTCTTTCTTTTTTCGTTTGTAAGTTATTTCCAGCAGCATTTTATTATAAGCTCACAAGCTGGATTAAATTGTATCAATTATTCAATTTCATTTTTAATTTTAGTTAAAGTGAAAGTAGTAAAAATATTTGATTGTTAGTCTAACATTAGAACGTAACCATTTTTTATCACGAGTGTTTACGCAGTTTATTAGAATCTATGTGACCGATATGTTTATATTCGTATATAATTTTATCCGAAGAAGCAAAGTCTTCGTCTATAAATTGCCTTCTCTAAGGTTTCATTAGAGTAACAGGTTGTTCTAATTAAAACTTTTATATATACAGTACATGCTGAGATTTGGATTTCTCTGAAATAACATATTGTTTGCTTTCTCTTCTTTTGCATACATATACCTTAAACCTTACTTTTTTCCTTACGATATTATCCTTTCACCACCATTTTAATCTCATTTGTTGTAACTTCGTTTATTTTAATTAATTAGTATTTTATTGATTAACATTTATTGAGTTTGATTTTATTAAATAAATTTGTCTTTATGATTACTTCAATATTCTTTAATTAATTCCTTTTACAAATAAAAATTGTTTATAAATACAGAAAGGTACTTTATCAATATTAATAATTTTTATTATTTTTTTGGTTTCCTTATCAATCATTTTTTTGTGATTATTTTTTTCCTTTATTTCTTTTTGAAGGATAGAATAAATCAAAAAAGCCTCCTGCATCATTTTAAATTATTATAATTTTTGCTTAATATGGATTCTTTATCATTTTCAAGACCTTCCTCAATATTACCACAAAATTTTTCACAGTAAGTGACTTCGTATAATCTCTCATAAGATACACCCTCCACTTTTCATTTTTTACTAAGAATTCTAGGGTGTCAAGTTTTCAGTATAAAAACCCATTATTTATTATACGAATTATTCTTAATACTGTAATGCTGGTCAGAAATCACGTGAATGAAATTTCGTGTTGTTTTCAATGTGAAAGTGCCGTTGGAGTTGCAGATGAACTAATAAAATCAAATTATATGTAGTGTATATAATTCAAATTCTTTAATTACTATTACCAAATTCATAAATTTATAGTGATTAGAGACATTTTCTTGATAAATTCAAAATTTTAAAATTCAATAACTTATATTCTAAATTAGCATTCAAACAAATTAAAATACAAAATAATATATTATAAATAAAATAAATAAAATAGCAACGCTTTTTTTTTTTATTATTTTTATATTATTTTATTATTTTTGCAATAAGGATTATTTTTAGAAAAAAGCGTTCTGTTACATAAAGAAGTAATTAATTAAAATATTTGAAAAGATAATAACAAGATGAAACATATATTTTGATTTAACTATTCCAAATATCATATATTTATCTCCTGCTTGACACTATCTATATTGTAATTGTACTTTCAATTTATAGAAATAAATTTATACATTTTTAATTAAAATTTTTTTAATAGTAATAACATAACTATTCATTTTGTAAATTTAATAGTGTTTAACAAACTTAAATCAATCACATGTTATTTCAATAATGTTATTCTGTATTAAAATTTTCTTTTATTTTAAAATTTTCTAATTATCTTCTACATAAAATTTCTTTGTAAATTAATAAATAAATTTATGTCAATATGTATCTGTATCATGTGACATATATTTGTCACCGGTATCACACCCTCCGTCTTTAGTTTTTACTATTTATTTCAGGAACTTAGAAATTTAACAGTGAAAAATTCTTATTCGTCACGCCTTCCGTCACATGTTTGGTAAAAGTAATGTTAATTCCGGCCGTATCATGTGACCCGTGTCAAATACACCCGTGTACAAATATAAATTGCCTTTTAATTAATATCCACAATTTTTTTTTATTAAAGTAGAAATATTAATTTAATTAAACTTCTTTTTTATCAATATAATTAAATGTTTTAAAATTTTGGTGTTATATTTTTATTTATCATAAATGAAATTTTAAAGGTTACGCAACGCAATCAATTACTTAATGGAGACGAAGTCCTCCGCAAACCGCAAACTCTAGTTAACAAAATATAACTCTTGGATTAAAATTTGACAACCAACGCTGTCAAATAATAAAATTGTGTCCATGTTGTCAAGAGCCGCTGAACACCATAAAATAATACAAATTCCTTCATATTTAAAAATATATATATAAAAAAAAATATAAATATAAAAAGTTGTATTTTCATTATTTCCTATATAGTCATATTTACGAGCATAACAAATAAAAAATTGTATGTATGACTAATCCCGTTCAATTGCATTTTCAATGCTAAGAAGTTTTAAAATTTTGCGCTTCATTTCAGGCCAATCCTCCATTTCCAATCACCCTTTTTAATTGCCTCCTTTATATAACTTCGAGCCATTTCAACAACATCTACACGGTAAAGTCTAAAAATGAAAATAGAAATTTTGAAATACATATTTTCGTTTTAAGATAACAAAAAATACTTACATTACTTCAGGAAACTAAGATCTATTACGTCTTAGACTAGGTGGTAAAAAAAAAGCTCGATTTCCGCTATAACTTCAGCTTTTTGTGAAGCTCTATCGTTATCTTTTCAATTGCCATATTAAGCAGACCAATAAATAGATTCATTAAATATATGACAATTAAAAATGAAAATACAGCCATTAAAATGAATAAAGTCTTATTTTCAGACGGTGTCCAAGATGATAATGAATCTTGATTTCTTAAAAATGGATATTTATAGATTAATGATTTATTTATAATTTATTTATCCTTGGATAACTAAAAAATTACCTGTTAAGAATAAGTACATTGCAAGAAGAGAAGTGAAATATGAATAAAATAAATTGTTTTTTTCATCAGGGGATTGAATAAGTGTTTGGTTTAAAATATTTCCATTTTCATCGGTTTGATAAAAAGTATTAGAAATGGCCCAAGGATTATTTGGATAGCTTAAATTTTGTGTCGTTAATGACTCTAAAAAATCATTAGGATGTAAAAGTAAAAAAAATGCATGTGTAAAACTTGCAAGGATTATTGCCAATACAACCAAAAAAGAAAATACGCGTTTAGCCACTCCAAACTTTATTACAAAATAAACACCAAAGGATTAAAATACTCTAAAGAAGAGCAAGAATTTTAAATCTAATAATAAGCATGAGACTGAAAGTGCCCAGTATGGTGTTTCATAATATTTAAACCAATGGATCGATGTTAAAAAAACAAAAAGGTATGCACTTAAATCTTTTTTAATAAAAAATAAGTAAATCTTAATTATTAACTATTATAACTTTCAACCATCAAAATGAAAATTACATTTACCAAACCAATTCTGAAAACGGATAAAATATTTCTTAGGGTTCCAAATAAATTGCCTAAACTCAGATATAAGATATAAAAATCCATAGATCATTGAATTTGCATAAAACACATGACGAGTTCCTTGCGTAATATAATCCGAGGGATAAGAAGCAACAGTAAAACTTAATAGCAAAATCATAAACTTAAACCAAATAGCAAAATAACAATTTCTTCCGAATTTTTTCCATTTGAAATCAATGATTGCTTCCCAATTCCAATTTTTATAGAAATCTTTTGACATGTATTGACAAAAACACTTGATTGAGGTTTAAGTATTTCCTTAATCCAACTGTATTCTAAAGTATAGCAAGAATTATTTATATAAGGTACTATAAGAGTAATATGTTGCTTAACTTCAATATTTCTCGCAATTATTTTATAATAAAGTGAATTAAATATTCCGATAAATTTCGAAAATTCCGATAGGCAAATTAGCATCGATAATATTGATACTATAGAGATTATAAACATCAAGAGCAAACACAAAATTTGTAATATAAACATCAACTTATACGACAGTTTATGAAACAATCTTTCTAATATAGGAACAAATAAAGTTAACGATGACAAAATAAAACTAATATATGATAAAAAATATGGTGAATAAGCCAAAAACTTGAATGATTTTTCGATTTGGATTTCTTCACTAAAAGTATATAAATCGTCATCAAAATTGTTATTGACAATAATATTTTCATTAAAAGGGTCTATGAACATAAACATTTCAGAATTAAATTTTGCTATGAGATCGAGATAAGTTTTATATATATCATTCATAGATAATGTTATAATATTGAGAAATTTCAGATTTTTTTTTGGATCTTCTTTTTACGAGTTTTGAGCATTTACTATAAATCTTTTCTATATAATCAATTGATTTGAGACTGATTAATTTTGGTAACAAAGTTGATCCATATTTGGCAAGACATCTATCGTCCTCGATGATATTTTCTAACCATTCATTATATAAAGGTCCGAGTGAATTATCTTTATGTTTAAAGAAGGCTTCAAAATTCATCATTGGTAATTTAGACCCAGAAAAAATTTCAACGGTAAAATTTTCATCATCAACAAAGTAAAATAATGCAACTTAATACCTACATTGATATCATATTTGTATATTATTATGCATCGTTATTCTATTTTATGATCTTTACACATAGTTTGACGTAATGTTAATGCATTATTATCTATAATCCTCCAATGAAGATCAATTCGTTCAAATTCTTTCAATTCTTTCAATTCTTTTGAACTTAATTCTTTTATACCTAAGGAAAGTTCATAAATTGAGAGTTTTTTATTTATTTTATCTATTCTCCATTTATATTTTTGATTATTGAAATTTATATCTATTGGTTCATCATCAATATCATCTCGATTGGAAACTAAAGCTCTTATATTTTCCATATCGGGAAAAACCATAGTATCATTGAATCGACTTTCGAATGTTTGGTTCAAGTAAGTATTCCACCCAACAACAATTTCATCATCCAAATGATCGGTTTCAAACAAATGATGCCAATTAAATTTGGTTAAACTGATACTTGAAACTCTTCCATCAACGAATCAAAATGCTCTCCTCGAACTATATTCAAAAAGGGTGAAAACATTCTCGAGGTTATCATCATTGAAAATCTTTGATCCCTCTACGGGTTGTTTATTGTTTTCAGTTGTGTGATATAAGCTTATGTCTTGTTTCTTGCCTTTCTTGGGTAAATTAAAGGCCAAAAGATAGTTTTTGCTTAATACTTTAATCGAAACTTTCCCTTCTATTCAAATATTTCGAATTGGAAAATGAATATCTTTTGAATAAATCGAACTTTCTTTGCAAGATTTTACAAAAATTAAATTTTCACTCATTATAACATCCATAACGTCAATTCCGTTAGACTCAAGTGAATAATCAAATTCGAATTTAAATGTATCCAAGTTCCATTGAAATAAATAATTTAAAGAAATGGCCCATAATTTATTTTCCCTAATAATTATTTCTTTGAATGCTTTGTCCGAGAAGACCTTATAAAATTCACGACTAACTAGAATTCTGTCTAAGCCGAAATACACTCGTAAATATGTTATTACTAAAATTCTAAAGCCATTCTTAATTAATACAAGATTTCCATCGTTTTTGAAATATAATGAACGAAAACTCTGTTTCAATGAATGAGGTTTAATTGGTTGTATTTTGACATTTGAAATGTTTTTATGAAATTTTTCCATACATATAAAACAAATTTATCATCATTCACTTTAATTTCATTTAAATTTTCATCATTTAGTAATTTATAAACAGTCACATCAGGATCTAGTTTAAGTGGAGCCCATTTAGAATCGTTTTCGCTGACAATCCATCCTTCAATTGAATGATCTTTGCTACTAAACGTGACGTGATTACATATTTACCATTAGGAGATATAGATACTTACTAATGATATTTGTTATCTATTATGCGCAGCATTATCATCTATATTAATGCGTGTTTCGTCGGATTCGGTCATGAAGAAATATTTAATTATTTGAACGGTTTATTTTACAAATACCGAAACGGTTTTAATGTGTAAAGAAGGGTTATGGGTGAAAAAACCACCCGTATAAATTGATGTAATTTTGTGGCGCAAGTACAGACGGTTGTTACGGAAGAAATTACCAAGATTAGATAGGGAAATAACTATATCGGTATTTGACAGATATATTTAATCAACCCAAAGATATATACATACATAATTATAAATAATATAACAATATTTCAGGTATTAAAAAGTCATACAATCGAAATAATAAAATGATTATACCATATCATACTACCTAAATAGTCGATGTGAATTTTATTCGGCTGAATTCAGATGATAAAATCTAGATGTTCAACGGGAAGCCTCATACATCCGCCGTGTGCATTTGATAGTTCTATGATGAATTAATTAGTTTATGATTTTGCTAAAAAATTGTATCACTCGAAGATTATTTCACGGGACGGTTAATGATCTATGTTTTTGAAAATTTTTTGTTTGCAATAAATTTCCTATCACTATATTATATTTTAGTACAAGATATTTTAATTTTTTTTGGATGACATTTGATACACCAGACACAGATTTTTCAACATGATATTTATTGAAAGTAGTTTATTGATAAAAGTTAATACGGATTGAGTTTATTATGTGTCAAATTTCCTAATGTAAGGCCACGCAAATTAGCATTTTCGGTTCACGTAAAATTAAAATTTTAAAATTCACTCCATATTTAGTACATTATTAATTAGATTAGGTTGGTGTGCGGCCCGCTAGGTATGGTATTAATCGCGATTATCGTTTCACAAGATTCGATTAATCGAAAATAATAGATTGATCCATTGAGTTAGGTGCTTGAGAAAAACCCTATCCGAAAAATAAAAAATACTGTATATGTAATTAAAAAAAAAATAGGGGATATAATATGCAAATTAAAATTAAAAAAAAAATATATATTAATATTAGAACCCGTGATTATAAAAAAAAATTTTTTAAAGCGGGTATTTAAAATTATAAAAAGTGCAAAGTAAAAATAATTAATTAATAAATGAAAAATAAACAAAAAAATTTGGCAAATATTAAAATTAAATTAAGTTAAAAGGAATCAAAACATCGCGAAGGATGGAATTAAAAATGTTCGGAATTAAAAAAGAATACATCCGATTAAAAAAAATAAAAAATTAATCAGTCCGAAAATTAATAGAAAAATTAAAAAAAAAAAATTAAATCAAAGTCGCTGTATTAAAAAAAAAAATAATTAAGAAAATTAAATATTTAAAAATAAAAAATTAATTATTTAAAATAAAAAAAATTAAATTAATTAATCAATTCAATTTTATTAGAATCAATTTCGATCCTTAGCTGAAGGGTTCATTCGAAGTGCCGCAGCCACGTTCGTCCGAAAGGGCGGAATCGGCCTAACCTACAAAATCGAAAAAAAAAAGCCATTAACTGTTGATTATTAATCAAAAAATAAGTAAACCTGACTGCGCCGCTATGACGAGCCGCAGGAAGTGCCGCGCCCACGTTCATCTGAAAGGGCGGAATCGGCCCTAACCAAAATCGAAAAGGCCATTAGATTTTGATTATTAATCAAAAAAAAAAAAAATAATAAAATCGCGGCTAAAAATCAATTATTAAGTTCAATTATTTAAATAAAAATAAATTACCGTATATTGCGGGCCATAGTACCCGGGTCCTTTGCAAATTTTAGAGGTTTTTGGCCGTACCCGGGGGTACATTACACCGGTGGATACTA